ATGCCATATAAAGTTCTTCTGTAAAGATTTAAAAGGCAGAGGATATCATTGAAAGTAGGCCTTTGTGGGAAACTGAGAAAATGGATTCATTTCAGATTTAAAAGAGCAATGGCATCGAAACACTCCTACTATTTATATAAATTGAGACTTTACATTTTATTGCTAAATAATTTCAACTGATAGTCTATATAGTCTTCTTAGATATAATGCTGCTTGTTTTTCTACTTACTTTTTATTCTTACAAAATGTATTGCCTTTTTACTGTGTATTGTCCTTTGATGATATCTTTTAAAATTTATTTTAAAGTCTTCAAGCTCATGTTTCATTTTTACCTCCTTATCACTCTCGCTTTTTACTGTCTGGTTTGTCCTTCATTGGCTTGGCCTTCCAATACTGTGCCTCGTGATTTTGAAGGCTACAGAAACTTGAGGAAAGCAATCGAGAAGAAAGAAGGTTGGAATATTTCCCAGGTTTTTTTTTTTTTAAATTAAAATGTCATTTAAATTCTTAGTTGCTGTTCAAAAGGAAATGTGTTATAGAATTATAAATTGTTTCAGACTAGATTAGCTTGGTGCTTCTAAAAATGATGTTGATTTTGTAAAGTTAAAAATACCACATATATTTTTGAAAATACTTTTTAAGTATTTATATTAATTAAAATTCAGGCAATTTCATGTGATTTCAGAATAAACTATCATAATTATGAAGGAGACTTACTTTTTTAGGTTAAGAAATGATCCTCAAATCTCATTTGGCTTTCAGAATGTATCTTTTCAGAAACTTGTGAACAGACTGGGAATTATTATTTGGGTGGGAATTGTCATTTTGTTGCAGCCCATGCTAAGTCATGGGTGGGATCTCTTCCTTATTTGGTATAATCTTTGTTGAAAATATACTAAAATGTCAACAAAGCAAAAGGAAACGGTGGCCTTACAACAGATAAGATTTACAAAACATTTTTAAGGTTGAATTAAGAAAACATGTTTTAAAATGTTCAAAAATGTATTTGAAGTGAGCATCAAGGACAAGAAATCTCTGGTTTTTTTCCATTTGGAATTTGAGCAACATTTAGAAGTGCATTTCTCTATGTAATAAACACTTGAATTTTAGCTCATTCAGAATTATGGTTATTTAAACCAAGGTCAAGTCGTTTTTTACTTCTTAGAAGAATTTCTCTTCATAGATTTTTCTAAACAAATCTTCAGACTATACAGTAAAAATGATTAAGAAAATAAACTGGTTTTAATAATATTTACATATTTTAGAAGCACCACTCTAAAATGTCATCTCTTAAAATAAGCCTTTTGAGAACATTTGCTATTCAATAATGAGATGAATGAATATCTTACTTTAAACATGAGAGCTTAAAAATTATAATTCCTTGAAATTATTTGGTAATTTATGTTTCACCATTATATCCTATACATTATATAGTATTCTAATGTTTCTGTAATTCTATTCTATAATTCTGTAACTTATTTAAAGTATTCTAAAATGAGTCACACTAGAACTCACCTGATTAGTATATATATCTAGGACATTATGTTTATCATTGGAATTACACTAAGGGCTTAAAAATGTCAAATTTCTTCTATTTTTGAAAATAAGATGCATAGTTCTAGTAGTGCGTGGAAGCATTTTCCCACCTGAAAATATTTAAGCCCTTTAAATGTACTTAGTGGAGTGTTTGCTTCCAACTTTTATATCATCCAAAGAGGAGAGCAAAAGCAGAGTAGTTTGATGCTCTAGGACAGACCTTCTCGAACATGCACATGCATACAGATTACCTGGGGAGTGTGATGAAATGAAGGTTCTGGTTCTGTAGGACAGGTGGAGCTGAGATTCTGCATTTCTAAAGGCTCCTGGATGATGCTGATGCTTCCCCAACTGTGGACCGAACCTCGAGTGCAGGATCTAGAATACTGGCCTGGGAGACTCAACACCTGGTTTTGGTCGCCTTGAGTGGACTAGTTTACCCAGGCCACAATTCCTTCTTTGGTTGTCAATAAAAATGTTGACACTGGTTGTCAAATGTTAAAGGGGTTCAACCACATGAGCACTTGTGTTCCTTCTACTAGTAGCTCCAAGATTCTGATTCTATGTAAAATGCAGACTTAAAAATCTTTCATTGCTGTTGAGATAGTTATTTTACATATAATTTGCCCAGTTTATTGAGGAAAACTGGAATATTTGAAGTACATTATAAAGCATCAACTTGTATTTTAAAAGTGTAAGCCTTAAGCGATTTATAAGGGTAAATTAATAATGTAAAATTACAACGGATTTTTCTGCATCAGAATTGGCACAAACAGTGAATAATATGAGTTAACTTTATATTAAGTAAAAAGTAACATTTGTTAAACTGGATACAGAAGGAAGGGGGAGGGTGTGTTGGGTCAAGAGTTTGGAATAAAGTGGTTTTATGGCTATACCTGAGGAAAAGAGAATTTGGGTTAGAATTTGAAGTAATGAAGGAACCAACAATAACAATAATAACATAGGCTGCAACTGTTGTAGGTGAGGAAAGGAGACTGCATAGGTGAGAGAAAGGGGAATGCTGATGGGAAATATCTTTCCTAATACATTCTCCTTTTTTAGCCCTTAACTTTAGTCCTATCTCTCAAGTATAACACAACAGTGTTATGGTACTAACCTTTGAATGGAATGACTGGATGAGTTTTTTTCCAGATTTTCAGCTTGAACTGCATGGTGGTCCTACTATACACTGAGTGGCCAGATTATTATGACCACCTGACGTTTGCAGGCAAATTAGCTATAATTTTGCGCTGAAGTTGCTAGAGGGCCAGATCATTATAAATGTCTGAATAGCACAACATACCTAAGTATCATTGCTGATCAAGTTCACCCGATCATGTTGATGGCGTATCCCGATGAAGGTGGCTTCTTCCAACAAGACAATGCGCCATGCCATGGTGCTCATATTGTGCAGGAGTGGTTTCAAGAACATGAGGGAGACTTTACCTTGCTTAGGTGGCCCCCACAATCACCAGATCTCAATCCAATTGAGCAATTTGTGGGACGAAGTTAAAAGAGCCATCAGGCAGCTGGTTCCACAACCATCAAATCTCACAAAACTGGACAGTGCTATTCATCAGGCATGATGTCAGATTCCTCGCATCACCTTTCAACATCTCGTGGAGTCAATGCCAAGAAGAATTGCCACAGTATTGAAAGCAAAAGGTGGCCCAACGAAGTACTGATGGGCTGGTCATAATAATCTGGCCACTCAGTGTATATAGTAGAAGTGATGCAAGACAGGCATTCAGTATATTTCCCTTTCCCTCTCACAAAATGGATTTAACAACATTCATGGAACCCTGTTATAATTTACTTGGTTCCTTTCCAGTTAAGATTGTTTTATTAACATTGCTACTGCTCGTTTCTTCTCATTCTAGACATCTGTCTTCCATGCATCTCTATGCATCTTGCAGTTGCACTCTAACATAGTGTGTGTGACCCTTAGGCAGAGGTGCAAAATGGAGGTGTTCATGCACAGTCATAGGATTAATGTATTTAACACTTACTGCACATTTATTATGTATATCCTCTAGGTACTGGGAATATAATACTGAGCCAAACAGACATGATCCATGCCCTCACAAGGCTTACAGTCTAGTGGAGAAGAGAGAAATTAAAGAGATAATCCATAAATAAACATAAATTAAGAACTCTGAAAAATGCATACAAAGGAAAAGTATTTATAATTTCTCTTGTCTGAGTACAAAAATATCTGTGAGAATTGGGACTTAGAGTTAAAAATTAGAGTTTAATGATAATAACAAAACCTAAATAAGATTAAATTTTTAGTCTAGACTCTGAAAATAAATCCATGTATTAGGGCAACTATTTACTATAACAGAATATCTGAAAGAAATGCTAGCTGTTATAAAGTTATTCTGATAGAGTTTTTAAGCTCAGGCTAGGGGATATTTTATTTGGATAATATTGCCTTATTCGAGTATTCTTTTTATTCTTAATATTTTGAAAATGTTACTGTTGTACAAGAGGAAATTTTTCACATGTAGATTCACATAAAGTTCACTTTCTTAATATTACTTAGCTTGATTAAGTAATCAAGTCTAGTGTGCAGAAGTGTAATATCTGTGCATAATTGATTTTGATTGCTAAAACCCTAAAAGGGTGAAGTGATTTAAGTGTGCAAAAACTTTTCCCCCTCTAGAGTCTCTCTTTTTCTCAGGGCTACCAGGGCTGACCTAGTTTAGTTATAACCATTAACTGACAGGAGTGTGTAGTTAAGTGTGTAGTTAGTACTCAATGACTGAAGAGAAGGCTTCTATTTGTATGGCGCATCTTGTGGCAGACCCTGAAACTTTATGTTCACTCAGAGGTCAGGCTGGCCTTCAGACAATTTTGATGTGATAATCTGGGAGATTATCAGAAACAGACCTGTGCTGTAGGTATGGCCTTGGAAAAAAAAGCATCACGTGCTGTGTTATGGGAGGAGACCTGAACGCTGATGGGTGCAGCCAGTGTAGACAAATTTACTGTGGGCAGATTTATTCTGGATCTTCAAATTTATTCTTAAATGTATTAGATAAAAATGCATTTTTTGTATCTTTATATTTAGATGAGGAAAGTTGTATATGTTAAGGTGAGAGAACAAAAATATTTTTTATTTCCTTTTAATTTAAATCGCCTACCTTCTAGTTAAGTGGCTGTTCCTGTGACTGGTTCTTAGCTGTTTCATCCGTTCTCGTGCTCCCAGGGTATGATCTGTTCCTCAGTGTTTCGGGAAAATAAGTTTCTCCTTCATTAATATTAATCACTGTACTATGGGTTGAATGGCAATTTCTATTTTCCTCTGAAGCATCAGACATGATAACTTTGGTCAATAAAATGATCAGTTCTTCTAGTATGTTTTCCCAAATAATTGATGAGTTTTAAAAATCTGAAAGAAAAAAGTGAACCATTTTTCTCTCTACTTTAATACCATACCCTTTTGTTCCTTTTTCCAAAAGTGTGGCTGGTAAAGAGGATAATGCAGACACCGACCAAGAGAAAAAAGAAGAAAAGGGTATTTCAGAAAGAGAAAACAATGAATTAGACATGGTAAGTATGGGAAAATGAACTTGTAAATGTTAGTCCCTGGATTAGGTTGTCCTTGGCTGCAATAACTATACTAACTTATGTGTGGAAAAGAGAGATGGTCATCGTGCATCCATTTTAAACTGTTTGTTTTTTTTAGAACCTCCTTTCTTTAGATACATGAACTATAAATATTGGTAACTCTCATTTTTGTGCCTTGTGAAAACATTGTGTGTGGGGAGATAGAATACCATGAACAATGAAGTACTCTTTGATTTAACACAAAGTCGTTACATAAATAACCTTAAAATCGTGCAATGATTTTTGAACTGATGAAAAGTGAAATTTTTGTACTTTTGCGCTTTATACTCCAGTAGTCTCTCTTAATGAGGTAATCAGTTTGCTTTGCCATATTGTGGTCACAAACCACATTTTAGGAAGAAAATCAAGAAGTGAGTGATCATGAGGATGAGGAAGAGGAGGAGGAGGAGGAAGAGGATGACATCGAAGGGGGTGAAAGCTCTGATGAATCAGATTCTGAGTCAGATGAAAAAGGTACTTGCCTCTTGGTACAAGGACAAAAATTCATTTGGGAACTTGATTAAAACATGACAAAAAGTTAATTTTCTCAACTTCATTCTTGATGAAACAGCTTTTATGACTGTTGACCTATGTATGCCCCTTATGGCTCATGCTTCTTCCCTTATTTGGTTTAGTCATTGTGCGATTTCCATTCTTATTTAGTACAAATATATCTGTTGTCCCTGATCAGTGTGAACACTTTTTATCTTGTTCACCTGTTCTAGTTTTATCTAGAACCTGTTTTTTATAACTGCTAAGTGGATACCTGGGTATCATGGTTTTCACACTCTTGCTTGAAAGATAGAATTATGATACATTAATCTATCCCAGCATTTTTATTTTCTTCTTTTATAAATAGCCAATTATCAAGCAGACTTAGCAAACATTACTTGTGAAATTGCAATCAAGCAAAAGCTGATTGATGAACTAGAAAATAGCCAGAAAAGATTGCAGACACTGAAAAAGCAATATGAAGAGAAGCTAATGATGTTACAACATAAAATTCGGGACACTCAGCTTGAAAGAGACCAGGTGCTTCAAAACTTAGGTAAGAATTAAATCTAATTCAAATTAAAGTTCAAACTAAGTCATCAAAATGGATTTTTATCATCTCTTCCTTTAGAAAAGAAAATTATATTAGAAGCCACATAAAATATCCATGTTTCCCATAAGTTAAATATTTTTTATTTTGTTTATTTCCCTTTGGTACTTGTCTAGGCTACTTAATTATTTTGTCTGACATTGTGGTTAATTGTTTTAATGTCTTTGATTTATTCTGGAAACATTTCTAAATTAAAAAGACTTCAATAATTGTTAAACAAGTTAAGAGTAGATAATAAAAGAGAAAGTGATTCAAAGACACCCTGGTTGAGTTTGGGAGGATGTTCTTTACTAAGGTCATGAGTTGTAAATCTGTGGAATAAAAATCTGTGACTCACAGATTCAGATATCCTTTGATCATTTAGGCTCAGTGGAATCTTACTCAGAAGAAAAGGCCAAAAAAGTTAGATCTGAATATGAAAAGAAACTCCAAGCCATGAATAAAGAATTGCAGAGACTTCAGACAGCCCAGAAAGAGCATGCAAGGTTGCTTAAAAACCAGTCTCAATATGAAAAGCAATTGAAGAAATTGCAGCAGGATGTGATGGAAATGAAAAAAACAAAGGTATTGATTATATTTTCCATTAAAGTCTGATGTTGAAGATGCTTGTGTCATTTGAGACAGAAATATGATTGTGGTTCTTTCCATATTCAATAAAAGTTAACTATGTCTTCCAAATGATGCACTTCTTTGGGCAATTAGAGGTTGTTTCCTGTTGTCATCCATTATCAAAGCCTTTCTTCAGAGTCGCTGAAAAGCATGTGGTAACAAGGCTTCTGAGACCTTGATGGATATTTCTCATCTTAAAACCCTTACACAAGGTTAACAAGAATATAAAATATAAAATATTTCAAACATTCAAAAAAGCATAGATAATAACACAATGAACACTATATCCACTATCCTACTCTAAGATATTAAACATTAGATATTTACACAAAGCTTCCTTTATATTAAGTTCCTGATCATATTCTTTCCCTGAGAGGTAACAACTATCTTGAATTTTATGTGTGTCATTCCCATGCATAGAAAAGTACAAATTGTCTTCCCTGACTGAAAAGAATATTTGAATCATGATCTGTTACCTGTTTTAATTGTGGGATCAGTTATTAACATTTGGCATAACAATTAATGTTGTTTCCTTAAAATAGCAAATGTGGAAATGATTTAGGAAGTAGGTTATTATTTTGTGTATTTGCTGATGACAACAACAGTAGCTAAAATTATTGGGTTCTTTTTATATGCCAGACACTGTTATAAACACTGCACAGATATTAACTCATGGAATTGTCTTAACGGTTCAGTGCCACAGAACTATTATCTCTATTTTGTATGTGAGAAAACCAAAACCTAAAGAGGTTAAGTAAATGGCTCAAGGTGACACAGCTCCTAGTAATAAGTACCAAAAATTCATTCATATAGAAACTGAACACTGAATATAAAAAGCATAGAGCACTAAGCAGTTTGATATAAACATATTACCAATGTATTAGAAATAGAAATGTATTTCACTAAAGTAAGAATTGACCATTTGAAATGCAGCAAAACTCCACATTTCCATGTTAAATTTCTGAATTCTCAGTAATTTATTCCACACATGTGGTTTATTTAGTGAATGTTGTGATAGGGTAACTCCAATAGATATATCTACCTTTTTTTTTTTAGGTTCGCCTAATGAAACAAATGAAAGAGGAACAAGAAAAAGCCAGATTGACAGAGTCTAGAAGAAACAGAGAGATTGCTCAATTGAAAAAAGATCAACGTAAAAGAGATGTGAGTGACTTCCTTATGTATGAACGTTGTGCATGGGACAAAATTGTTTAATAAATGGAAGAAAAGTTTTTGATAATTATAACTATTAAAGACAGGCTAAGGACAATAAACACTACTTATATTTGATGTTTATTATATAGTATGTGGATTATACTTGTTTAATATTAAAGTTTGTGAAAAATACTATAATATCATAAATTTTATTGAAGGCTTATTTCCTACATGATGAGATGGAAGAAAATATCAAAGAACAGCTGGTGATCTCTAGGGAGATCAGGGAACTATTATATAAGAGAGCAATTTTAGGATGGTTCTAAAGATAGTTTCATCACTACAGATTCTTAGAAAAGTTCTTGGAATAACAACCAGGTTTTACCAGAAAAGGCTCTATTAAGATATACAAAAATGTTCATATTCTTCGACTCAAGAATTTTACTTCCATGTACAAAGACTAAGAAAATATTCTAAAATAAAAAAATTGCTGTATGTTAACATCTTCACTTTAAGGATATTTATAATAGTGAAAAAGCTAAAAACAACCAAAATGCTGACAGTAGGAGGAATATATAAGTAAATTATAGCTCATCTAATTTAATAGGTTATTATTCATCCATTAATAATTAGGGTTTGGAAACCACATAGTAAAATGAAAAATGACTATGATTAAGTGTAAAATAACATTTCATATATGCGTGCCTGATTCAAATCAAGGAAAATTTTGAAGGATATATCCCAACATGCTAACTGGAGTTGTATTAGGGTTATAAGTTATAGTTGATTGGGTTTTTCTTCTTTCCAAATTTTTTAGCAATATAGTTATTTCATTTATGAATTTTTTTCCTTAAAACAAGAGGTTATCACCTTCTTTTCCCTATTGTTGGTTAGTTTCAGCCTTTGGTCCTTTTTTCTCTCTCAACATTTTCTAAATCTTCCCTGGAGAAAACTGAGCATACAGCATATCTCAGAAAATAGAAATCTACTTTGGGAGATAAAAGGAAATTTAAGGAGGTAGAAAAGACAGAGTAATGAGGTTGAAAAGTAGATATTTTAGCCAGATGATTCCCATAATTATAGCTTTTTTATTTCATTTATTTCTTTTTTTCTAACATATCAATGGATTTTAATAATCAGTATACTTTGTCACTTTCAATTCCTGGGCATTTTAGAACTTGTTTATACTATTATTTTATTCCTAAAATCTAGTAGAAGGGCATGCTCATATTTTGCCTATTCTTTGTTTCCCTATCTGGTACTTTTTAAAAAAAATGAGTTAAATTCACTCTTTTAAACTGTATAATTCAAGTTTTAAATATATTCACAAAATTGTGCAACAATCATTACCATCTAATTCCAGAACATTTTTTCACTTCAAAAAGAAACTTATACCTATTAGCAGTCACTCTCCATTCTACCCTCTCCCTGGCCCCTGATAACCACTGATCCACTTTATTATCCTGATGGATTTGTCTATTTAGGACATTTCATCTAAATGGAATAATGCAATAGGTAGCCTTTTGTTTCTGGCTTTCATTTAGCATGATGCTTTCAAGGTTCATTCCTGGTAAGCATGTATTAGTAGTTCATTTCTTTTCATGGCTGTATATATAGAGCACATTTTGTTTACCCATTCCTCAACTGACAGAACTTTGTTTTATTTACACTTTTTGTCTATTTTGTTTTTCATGAAAACTTTTGGACAGGAACACTTGCCTTACAATATTTGCTACTTATTTCTTTATTACCAATTCATATTAGGTATAGAGAGATCAGTATTGAACAATTAACTCTTGGGAATATTATCTGACACATATGATCATAAATGATATACTATCTATGTATATGAAAGCCCAGCAACTAGAACGGTCGAACGACCAGAACGACCGGTGGCTATGATGCGCACTGCGGCAGCCAACCAGCTTGATCCCTGATTGGCCTCCCACCCTGATCAGGGGCGGGCTGGCCGGCCAACCACCCACTGCCACTCCCCCCTGCTGGCCCAGCCTGATGGGTCCCCATCAGGGCAGCCTGGCCAGACCCCACCTGTGCACGAATTTGTGCACTGAGCCTCTAGTTCTATTATAAAGATGTGAGGCTGGCTAATCACATACAAAACTAACACTCAGACATCATTTCCCTTTTTTATTGTTGCTTTGTGTATATATTGACCCCCTTTCTAAATTCTTTCTTGTCATATTGATCTCTGTACCTTTAGAGAATCAAGTACATTTGTACACTACGCAAAAAATATGAATGAGCTTGGAATTTGACTTTTAATAGGAAGAATTGTAATGTAATAACAAGTTTCAAACTATATGTAAATTTTAACTTTTGGTAATTTATTCATTTTAAAAAGATTTATTAACTTTGCTTCTATGTCAATCATTATTATAGTCAATAAAATATGCCTGGGATAAGATAGAATCCTTTTCTCTAAAAATTCTCATCTGATGGCATAGGAATATGCCTAGCATGAGATGAATGACCTGTTTAAATTTGGGATCCAAAACATGAAGAGTTATTTTTTATATCACAAAATTTAAGTCCTAGAAGGAATGTTTTTGATCAAGTTTAATTCCTAAGCTTTGCCCAAGATCATAGAGTTGAATAAATGACAGAACCAGAATAAGGATCTATTGTTTTTTAATCCAAAATTCTTCCCTAAATTATAGTCCTGTGAAATGGCTTAAAGTAATCCATAATTAATTGTCTTTGTTGTATAGAGCCGTGGTTGGCAAACTGCGGCTCAACATGCGGCTCTTTGGCCCCTTGAGTGTGGCTCTTCCTAAGCCTTAGGAGTACCCTAATTAAGTTCATAACTATGTATCTACCTATATAGTTTAAATTTAAAAAATCTGGCTCTCAAAAGAAATTTCAATCATTGTATTGTTGATATTTAGCTCTGTTGACTAATGAGTTTGCCGACCACTGGTATAGAGTATCTAGAAACAAATTGATAGGCAATAATAACATGTTTCATTGTCCATTTACTTTAAACAACATTTTTTAAAGTTATTATAAGGTGCTAATCCAATTAATTTATATTCTCCCCACATTTAAAACAGAGTTTGGAATTACTGTATATATTGTAAGGTACATCTATTTAAACTGGTCTAAACTGTGTTTCTTCTTGTGTGTGCCTCAGCCAGCAAAACAAAATGTCTAACAAAAAGGAAACGAGAATATTTGTGAAGCATTTAGAAAAGTACTGTATATAGTAAGCACTATTTGAGTGTTTGTTAACTACAAGTATATGTCACAGAGATAGCCTTTCAGAGAGAGATGGCCATATCAATATGCATTTGCGTTTATTGGAATAAAATGCCTATAAATGCAATAATGGATGCAAGGTTGTTGTTTGCTCAGATTTTGCTAAGAACTCTTACAGTTCCCAGCAGGATAGGGAATATATTAATGTAGGATGAGGAAGTATTGTATTTCTCAGTTTACTATTTTAACTTATTCAATATTCTTTTATAGCATCAACTTAGACTTCTGGAAGCCCAAAAAAGAAACCAAGAAGTGGTTCTTCGCCGCAAAACTGAAGAGGCAAGTTGGCCATTTGGAGGAAACATTCTGGCTTTGAGATAAATGATGTATTTCTATCGACAAAGGGAATGAGTCAGTCTCTGTTGCTATTTCAGGTTACAGCTCTTCGTCGGCAAGTAAGACCCATGTCAGATAAAGTGGCTGGGAAAGTCACGCGGAAGCTGAGCTCATCTGACACCCCCGTTCAGGACACAGGTTCCAGTGTAGCTGCTGTAGAAACAGATGCGTCCAGGGCAGGAGCTCAGCAGAAAATGAGAATTCCTGTGGCAAGAGTCCAGGCCTTACCCACGCCCGCAACCAATGGAACAAGGTCAACACGATTCTTCTGTTCCTCCTAACATAATCTGTGTGGCATTATTACTGAATGTTGGACTTAAATGAAAAACAGCATATTATGTGCTAGGGCACAATCCAATAAGCACATAAGTAATTATGTTTGTCTGTTTATATATGATTATAGAAAAATATATCAGAGAAAAGGGTTGACCGGCCGGGTGTTTACTTCCAAGACGGCACGCATGAAGTGGCAGCTTCTTGAACGTAGGGTCACGGACATCATCATGCAAAAGATGACGATTTCCAATATGGAGGCTGACATGAATAGACTCCTCAAGGTGTGGAAAATAGAAAGCAGATATGCTCTCCCTTAGCTGGCTGTGAATTTTCAGTTTTTCAAGTTTGTTCCCTGGGTAAATTGAATACTTACTAAGGATTTTTCCCCTAGTGAGTTTTGATTGCATTGTGTATGAATAAATGAACATCCTTTTAAAAAAATTGTGGTAAGAAAAGGTAACATGAGATCTGTACTTCACACACTTTTAAATGTATAGCATAGTATTGTTAACTATAAGCACAGTGTTGTACAGCAGATCTCTAGAACTTACTCGTCTTGTATAACTGAAACTTCATACCCATTGAATAGCAACTCCCCATTTCCCTCTTCCCCAGCCCCTGACAACCACCATTCTACTAGTACTTACTGCTTCTATGAGTTTGAATCTTTTACATACATCACATAAGTGGAACCCTTCAGTACTTGTCCTTCTGTGACTCACTTATTTCACTTAGCATAAAGCCCTAGATGAGCATAATTTCTTAAAATCCAACTGTTTTCTCAATAGCAACGGGAAGAACTCACAAAAAGAAGAGAGAAACTTTCCAGAAGAAGGGAAAAGATAGTCAAGGAGAGTGGAGAGGGAGATAAAAATGTGGTCAACATCAATGAGGAGATGGAGTCATTAACTGCGAATATAGATTACATCAATGACAGCATTTCTGATTGTCAAGCCAACATCATGCAGATGGAAGAAGCAAAGGTTTGTAACTTAAAAAAATGTGTAATGTCTTACTAAAAAATTTTTTTTATTATTAAAAGCATTTTTAATTTTTATGTGAAGGAATTATTTATTTATTTATTTATTTATTTATTTATTTATTTATTTAATATGCTTCTTAGGTTTTGTATGTATACCACTCCCTGCCTGCTCTCCAGATACCTCTGCTCCTTTTGTATTATTTATTACTTGTAAAAGACATATATCATTTATTAATCTACCTTGTGCCTTTTCTTTTCAACTAGACCATATATTTTTGGTGTGGGGATTATAGTTTACACTATTCTGAGGAGTCCAGTTGGTTAACCTAGTGGAGCAATAGGCTTTTGCCTTCTGTTTAAATGCAGTTAGCTCAAAGTAATGTTACATCATCTGCTGGTTTGATGTAGGAAGAAGGAGAAACCCTGGACGTCACTGCAGTCATTAATGCTTGCACGCTTACAGAAGCCCGGTACCTGCTAGGTCACTTCTTGTCAATGGGCATCAATAAGGTAAGATCGACACTGTTATTGAAAACCCAAGTTTTGATGAATTCATTGTAGTTTTTATATCTTTCTCCAGTGACCCCTTCCTTTGTGCTAAGAAGATTTTTTTTACCTTTTATTTATTTATTTTTAAATATATTTTTATTGATTTCAGAGAGGAAGGGAGAAGGAGACAGAAACATCAGTGAGAGAGACACATTGATACATTGATCGGCTGCCTCCTGCACGCCCCCCACTGGGGATCAAGCCCGAAACCTGGGCATGTGCCCTGACTGGGAATTGAACCCGAGACCTCTTGGTCCATGGAACAACACTCAATCCACTGAGCTATATCAGCGAGGGCCCTTTTACCTTTTTTTTAGAGTGACGAAGCATCAGCAATATTGAGATCAAATCCACCTATTGTGTTTGTGTATTAGAACAGATAAACAACTTAGGGAATAATTAATTCCTCTTTTGCTTTAGCAAAGGAAGAATGAAAAGAAAATCTCTTGGGTTGCAAACAAATTTGGTATCATAACTTTGGTTGCATACTGATTCTTTACAGCTCAAAAACATAAAATTAGAAAGGAAAAATATAGTTTCATTCCCATCCTCTTTGAATAGGAATGCATTAATCTGTCACCTGTAAAAAATGCTGAAGGTGATAATGATTTCTGACTCATTTTTTCCCCTCATGTTGCGGTTGTGCCTAGACCCTTTATGTTATGTTCTCTTACTTAATTTTCACTAGTGCTAGGAAGTAGGTATTATTCATATAACTTGGCATATGAGAAAACTGAGAATCAGGAAGATAAGGTACCCTGGTCAAGGGCACGAAGTTAGTAAGTGGAGGCACGGAGATGAATCAAGGTAAGGTCTATTTGATGTCGAAATCCATATGCACTTGCTATCTGATTCAGATCTTTGTTTGGTAGATTCTGTTTTGTATGACCTAACATAATTTTATTTATCTTTTTGGTGGTGTTACAGGGTCTTCAGGCCGCCCAGAAAGAGGCTCAAATTAAAGTACTTGAAGGTCGGCTTAAGCAAACGGAAATAACCAGTGCTACACAAAACCAACTCTTATTCCACATGTTGAAAGAGAAAGCAGAGTTAAATCCTGAGCTGGATGCTTTACTGGGCCATGCTTTACAAGGTAATCTAACTAAATTTTAGTTAAATAATTGCATGGGAGCTTTGCTCTTTGAGTATGCTATACTATACTCTTTCCCCTATAGCTTGACTGAATAGATGCTGTATTTACTTACATTTGTATTAGTTATTCCTTCTTTAATTTGCATGTATAAATTTGGGGGGATGTAATTCATTATTGTCATCCCAAGAAATGATTACCAACTTACTAGTAAAAAAGCTTACTTAACCTTATTAAGGAGTTAGTTTTCATGGATAAACAAGATCAACCTATTTTCTGAATTGGTTATTTAAATTATTTATAATAGCCAACTGTCATTTCTTGACTCTGCATATCTAACTGCCTTTAAAAAATTAATGTTTTTGTTATGGCATCTATTCTACATATCTTATAAATGGTACCATAATCTTGTTTTATGTGGGAGTTTTTAACATTGGATCTGTTTTGATTGGAGTATTGCTTTTTGTTTCCTTTTTGCTATTATTTACACAGATCTAGATAGCGTACCTTTAGGTAAGTATGTTTAGCTTTCTGTGTACCCTACAAGCTGCATGAATTACTAATTGTTCATGTGCACTAATTGTGGTACATCTTATTTTTAAAATGTTTATTGGCAACCACTGTTTTTTGCATGATCCTTTTTGAAATGTATCCACAACCACAAACATACTAAGTCTTTTGTCTTTCTCATACACGCTTGATTTTAAAATTCTTAAAATGTTTAAAGAAATATGCTTTAGTGAACTTTTTTCTTTCATTACCTGAACTGCAACTTTGGCTCCCGTTTTGTAAGCCCTTTTTTTCTCTTTCTTGTAAAAGGCAAAAAAAAAAAGGAGTACATATTTCTTTTTAATTTTTAAATATATCTATTAACTTACATCTGTTGTTTTAACATCATAAATAACTTTCTTTGGTATATATCTTTGGTGTATATCTTTAGTATATGTTTGCTAGATTCTCAGCTATTCTTAATGTTTTATAAAATTAAGCACATATATTTTAATATTGTAAATTGAATAAAACTATCCAAGGATCTTATATGAACAAATTGAGACAATATTTAAGATCATAACATTTTTAAGTTAGAAGAGGCTTTAGTGATTATTGCGTACAGAGATTTTCACCCTTTTTCTGTTGCCACTACAGCATTCACATGAACTACCCCCACCTGTCAGTATTATTTCTACTCCTCTTGGTGATCATACACATGAAGAACCAGGAGTATCAGGGCAATTTTATTACTTGCAATTTTTCTAAATCTTATTATGGAGCCATTTTTATTTAATCAAAATTATTTCACCACCTGGTCTGAACTTTCTTTTTTCTAATCATACAGTTGTCCAAGTTTTTAAAATATTTTTACTTTAAGGAGAGGAATGTAGCCAAAAGATTAAATGTAATTACCTCTGTGTGCCACTAGAATAAACATACTCTATGAATCTGAATTTATTTCATTTTTATTTATTTTAAAATATATTTTTATTTATGTCAGAGAGGATGGGGGAGAGAGAGAGAGAGAGAGAGAGAGAGAGAGAGAGAGAGAGAGAGAGAAACATCAATGATGAAAGAGAATCATTGAGCAACTGCCTTGAGCCCGAAACCCGGGCATGTACCCTGACTAGGAATCGAACCGTGACCTCCTGGTTCATAGGTGGATGCTCAACTACTGAGCCATGCCAGCCGGGCCTAAATTTATTTAAAATAATGTCACACAAATAAAATACATATGAGCTATATGGTTTTTGTAATGTTTATACTTGGTGTTAATCTCAAAGTAGTATTTCTTTGATATCAGCTGCTAGTACTTTTACACTGCTCATGCTATAACAAATAAAGGTAAAAAAAAAAAAAGTAGGATTGGTTATATCCTAACCAAGTTTCTGGATTATAACCAGAAAATTTGCAATTCCATGTGTTAGCGCATTTCTTTTCCTCCTTCTATCCTTCTCTCTCTTTTCCTTCTTTTTGTTCTTCTTTTTCTTAGGGGCTCAACTTATAGCAATAAGTAAATTCTCATTTAAGTCCATGATCTCTTTTACTTTGGAAGAAAAGTGCAATGCCCTCTTTGATATCCTTTTGTGCAGAAAATGTTAAGCTGCTAATTTCATGAGCAGTGTTACGTTTTCACAACTTTCAAACTACTTTCAATTATCTGTAGCTGGAAGCAGGGTCAGAAGCAGAGAGTTGGAACCCATTTGAGTGATGTAACTTATGTCTTATTGCAGAAATTTGTCCCAGGTATTAGGGCCATAAATCTAGCCTAGAGGTGCTTGGAGGAAAAGTATGGAAGAAGAAAAAAATGGAAGTGAAATCCACATGAGCTGGGCAGTCATATATACATCACTAAAAACAAAACCACACAAAACCACATTAGCACCAATGTTATTTCAAGCATTGGGTGTAGTGCTGGGATCAAAGATGTATAAGACACAAAATTTTGCCCTTGTGGTCTTGGTGTTGAGGTTGACAGACCATGAACAGATTGTGATACATTATAGTGAGGGCAGTGATTGACGTATATACAGTATGGGGATTATGAGAGCACAGAATGGGGCCACCCAACAGGAACGGAGGAGTCCATGAAGGCTTTCCAGAGGAGGTGACATTTGCGCTGAAACATAAAGAAGGAAAAGGAGTTGTCCAGGTGGAAGAAAAAGAATTAGCCAGGACAAAGACTAGGTGGAAGGGGAGCCTAACAGAGTGAATCTAGGCAATGACTAAGCAAAAGCATAAGAGTTAGCCCCAATATTGTGTGCACAAGGTGTTCAAGCAGATCGGTGCCCGAGAGCAACAAGTACATGGGGGAACAAGGCTAGAGCGAGAGCCAGGGCCAGCACCTCATGCTAATAGGCTTGTAGTTTTTGAAGAACACCTTTGTTTTCCCTTCTCTTTCCCCGACCTATGACCTACGTTAGCATCCCAACTTTGCATATTTGCCGGAAGACTCATGGGGCTCTCAGTATTGTATCCACAGCAAAGATTCAAGAGACTAGGAAGGGTACACGGCTGTGTCCTAATGGAAGAAGACACAACGGAGTCCATGTCCAGGCTTCCTTGTGTTTCACCCTCCCACGAGAGATTGCACAGAATGTCCTTTTCTCCCTGGAATGAAAGCCCAGCACCGTTTTGTGATGTTTCTACTCAGGGAAATCCATTAGAGAGTCAGCACCCGAGGTTTTTCCTGGGGACTGCTCACACAGATACCCTCTGTCTAGTATATACCTGGATCCCAGACTCTCAGAGGAAAGGAGGAGTTTGGCAGAAGCCAGATTGTTTGTACAAATTCTAGGTACAATGAGCTACTCTCATTAGTTCATTAGTGACTGGGGCCCCCTCTGCCAGCCAAGTTTCCAGATGCTAGACAAAGTTCAACCTTACGAGCAGGCCTGTCTAAGGATAGCAGTCTCTGGGCTGCCAGGCGAACTCTTTTCCGTACACTACTTTGAAAAAAAGTTTTTATTGATTTTAGAGAGAGGAAGGGAGAGAGAGAGATTGAACATTGATTAGAGAGAAACATTGATTGGCTGCCTCCTGCATGTCCCCCCCTGGGGGATCAAGCCCGCAACCCAGGCATGTCCCCTGACCAGAAATTGAACCAGTGACCTCCTGGTGCATGGGACAATGCTCAACCACTAAGCAACACCAGCTGGGCTGTTTTATTATTTAAAAAATATATTTTTATTGATTTCATAGAATAAGGGAGGAGGAGAGATAGAAACATCAATGATGAGAGAGAATCATCTGTTGGCTGCCTCCTGCACACCCCACACTGGGGATGGAGCCTGCAACCCTGGCATGTGCCCTGACTGGGAATTGAACTATGACCTCCTGGTTCAGGTCAATGCTCAACCACTGAGCCGTGTCAGCTGGGCTGGGGCTGTTTTATATAACTTTTAAACAATAGCTTAAAAAATAACTTCACTAGTTAACTTCCAGTGAAGTGAGATTGTGCAACTTTGCACTTACATGAATGAACTTTAAGGCATTCGGGAGTAATAAATTTCTGTCCTTAGCTTTAATTCCACGGTGATGAGAAAAGAAGCTGGCATTGGGCTGGATTTATGTTTTCGGAGTTGAGAGTGTGACAGTGAGGTGATGGTGTGTCCTGCAGCTCAGATGACTGTCGTGCTCATACTAAGCTCAGACCAGAAGAGGGGTCTGATTTGGTGACTGAATGGGTGGCGCCTCTAACCTCTGGCTAGGTTCATTATGTCAAAATATAATTATCTGTAGATAAGGCATACATGCATAGGCAGGAACTAAGTAGTTTTTACCAAGCACTCATATGATATTTATCATACTAACTGATTTCTCCCTACAAGAATACTAGCCAATCTTAGTCTGCTTTTATATATGGGAAAATAAAGGCTAGTTTGTCATTTCTTTTAACCCCATTTTCTATGTTATCAACGAATTCAGTCACCTTAGAACTCAAGAATCCTGTTGTGAAGCAGGTCCTTGAGTCTCCCTCTAATGGTGAGCTTTTGAGATACACATTGCCATGAAGACTACCGTTTTCTCCACTTCAGAAAGTAAACTCCCTTGTATGGGTCCCAGATGGGCTCCTTTTTATTTTTTAATATTTTTATTGGTTTCAGAGAAGAAGGGAGAGAGAGATAGAAAAATCAATGATGAGAATCACTGATCGGCTGCCTCCTGCACACCCACACTGGAGATTGAGCCCGCAACCTGGGCATGTGTCCTGACCGGGAATGGAACCGAGACCTCCTGGTTCATAGGTCAACACTCTACCACTGAGCCACACTGGCCGGGCGATGAGCTCCTTTTTAGATAATATTATCAAGTATCAAGTATTACTGAATATTCTATTGTACCTGCTAAACAGTGAAGAAAGAAAGGGAACATCAGAGAAAGAGATTAGTTGACTTATGTACACCACCCAATTGTATGATATAAAATTAAAAGCTCAAAGGGTATGACTCATTTTATTAATATATGTTATTTATAATTCTGTCTTTAGTTTTGTGGAATGATTTTATAGTACAATGTGTATGTTTTTAAAACCTGAACCTATTGGGCTCACTGACATTTTAAATAGTTCACTTTCAGTGGCTGTTTTATTTACTGACTTTCTGAGAGTTTGTTTGCTTTTTCTTCTTCTTTTTTTAATAGCCTGCTAGAGTTGTTCTGAAATAGCAGTGGTTTATTTGTGTTCATTTCTGAAACCATTGCATGCAAGCCTATTGTGTTTGTCTTCCATGTACACATGAATGAGCTGCATGCTGATGTATAATCTCTAGATACGTACACACACACACATACTCTCTCTGCTTGAAAACAAAAATAAAGGGCGCTCATGAGCATTTTCTTTCCTCTTACATTTTATTCAGTGGGTTTACAAACATTTGGATGGCATGGGACAAATGCATACTATGAAAAAATATGTAATATAGTTACACATGCTCTGATAAGTACATGATTTCAGTTCTATCCTATGAATGTTGTTCTATGGTTTATCAAACCTGTGGTTTTCCTATTTTGAACATGTTTTTCCTCATCCTAGGACATGTAGTGAAAGGATTTTCTTAGATATGTTTTTCTATATTTCTATTTTGATTCAGTTACTAAAACCAAAGTGCCCATATTGAACCCTTGGGCTGATGTTTATTGTAGTATAGGGATTACAGTCACCATTCAAATTGCGACGTGGATAATACATTTTGGACATTTTTTATTTTATAGAAAATGTAGAGGATAGTACTGATGAGGATGCACCTTTAAACAGCCCGGGATCAGAAGGAAGGTAAGAGAATCTTTGGGAACTTAATAGATTTTACTTGTTTCTATAATATTTTTAATACTTTATCTTGATGCTTCAAACAATTACCCTTATAAAACAAATAATTTTGAATTTTATGGCTAAGTGAATAGCACTAGAAACAGTAATATGGAAACCTAACTCAGTTATGCTTAATTACCACACATTTTAAAATAAAAATACTGGAATATTTAAATAAGGAAAATGAAAAAAATTTAAATTGGTTTATTTTGATTTTTTAAAAATATATTTTATTGATTTTTAGAGAGGAAGGGAGAGGGAGAGAGAGATAGAAACATCAATGATGAGAGAGAATCATTGATTGGCTGCTTCCTGCATGCCCCCCACTGAGGATTGAGCCCGTAACCCAGGTGTGTGCCCCTGGCCAGAATCGAACCCGGGACCCCCTAGTCTGCAGGCCGATGCTCTATCCATCGAGCCAAACCAGCCAGGGCTATTTTGATTTTAAATATTGTCTTTCTTTGTTTTTCATAGCTAGGCATATACAATTCTTTCCATAGTTGTAAACATAGAGGACATGCAGTTTTGTATAGTAAGTTCCCTTATAATCTTGTGGTTATATATTTGCATATAGCACACTGTCTTCAGACCTGATGAAGCTTTGTGGAGATGTGAAACCTAAAAACAAGGTACGGGGGATTGAAAATGCTGGGTGAATGAATATTCTTTTTCCCTCTGTTCTTTGTTATAACTTTAAACACATTGGAGGCCTCAAGCTTGACCCTGGGTAGGTTATCAAGCAGGCATGCTTCTACCAAAGCTTCCATGTATCAGAAAATTAGTCTTTTATCATATTCCCCTTGACAAAAGTTCTATTGAAAATTTCTCGTGAAATTTTCATTTTACTGTATTCTCACACTTTTCTCACTAGATATCATTATGGAGACCAAATTTTTTTTCCATCCCTCCCCCCACCAGATTTCTCCTAAAGGTTTATTACCCATTAAGGATGTTGTGTGTTAATCTATTAAAGTTGCCTAAATTTCCTAATAATATAGGAGATAGTCACAAATTACTAGACAATAGTAATTTAAAGCAGTTGGCTAATCAAGTTGTAGACCTGTAGTTGGCATCTAAAATAAATCACTTTGATTGGTGAGAGATTTTTGAAATTTTAACATTCTGGTATGTTTTTAAGTATTTCTTTCTTACTTTAACTATATCCTGAAGTGGTTTGAATAATAAGCCAACTCCTAATCATTATCTTGTATTAAAAGCAAATATGCTACAATATATGTTTGTAAAGTTTTTCAAAAAATATAAATGATACATGCTGTTAAATGTGTAAGAAACACGTGGGACTTTTCAGATTGAGAGTTGGTAACATTTGATACTAGATGAATTAACTAAACATCTTAAGATGTTTGAAAACAAAGAATTCTTAGTAAATATTTGTTGAATGATGGATAGAATCAGAACCGGAAAGAATAATGCAAATGGACAGGACAGGTACAAGGCCCCAGTGGTTAGTCAGGTAAGGTCAATGAGTAATTTGGCTGGATGTGAAATCATGAGTCAGGTCATTATGATTACCTAAAGAGGACGTGCCCAATTAAAGCAAATAGCCAGCACTCAACTCTTGCTCATTTTTGCCATGATGGAATATGGGCCTACGGCTACCAGATCCTTTGTTTTTTTTAAGAAAAGCCTTGAATATGGATTTTTAGGTAGAATTTCCTTATCTTAATAACATTGGGCAAACCGATCAAAAAACAACTTCAGGCTCTAGGTGTGGTCCTTGCGCCACATGTAGTTTATGTCTTATTATTGTAAGTGACTAAGAAGAAGTTACCAACACTCAAAACATTCTAGTGTAGTTTGGATCCAGCCTTAAGCAGAGGAGAGTATCTCTTAAGGTAACTTTCATCTTTCAGGCCCTGTGACAGCCTGGTTATTCCTGCTCTTAGGCTACCAGAAAAGTGCTGTAAAGTGGTGGCCTAAAGGTCATCTCCTAAAAGATCCACTTTTGTTAGATTCCCAGCAAAGTGATTTCTCTCTGCCCTGGTCCCTCGGCTGTGCGGAGAATTGACAGTGTACAAAACTGGCTGCAGGACTTTCTTTTCCTAAATTCTCTGAAGTGCTATCTGATTTTCCCTTTGACCTGCAAAAATGCCTGGAGAAATCTCAAATCATTTATTTTTCCTCACTGAAAAAAATGAATTTGACCTTGTATTTTAAATCAGTATGTACCAACGCTCTGTGAAGTTTGGGGATGTAAAATTGACTAAACAGGGTGCCTGCCCTTTAGAGGCTTACAGTCTGGTAGACACAATGACTATTTGTTAATTCCTTCATAACAGCGACTCTGAGCAACAACACGATAGTCATTTGGTTTTTAAGAGTAAAGAAGGACATGCTTATGGTGAGTTTAGGCTCTAGGAAAATAATCTTCGCCTGCCTCACCAGGCTGCCAAAAACTGGTGCAAGCTGATGCTGAATTATCCAGTAGGTAGATTAAAAGCATCAAGGGAGCAGGGTAATGGAAGTTGAGAAACATGTGTAAAAATTGATATTAAATAAAGCATCTCAGCAAGGGAAAATTTTTGAATTTAGTTGAGCTTCCCTAACAAAATTATATTTTAGTTTGATTTCTTTCTTTTTCTTCTTCTTTTTAAATTATATGCTGAGGGAGCTGGCCGTGAGTGCCAGGATAGCACAGTAATATTGGAGGCAGATTGCTTAGTGTTGAACCTTGGCTTTGCCACTTCCTAGCTGTGCGACTTTGGGCAAATTGCTTAGCTTCTCTGTGCTTCACTTATGAATTAGGATAATAATAGCACATGCTAAGATAGCTAAGATAGCAGAGTGTTTAGAACAATGCCTTGTCATATAATACGTACAATACAAATGTTGGTTACTACTAAGGATCTTATCTGGCTATAGCTCTGGCTTGTCACTCTCTTACTGCTACATTTGACACACTTGCTAGGAAAAGACACACTAAATGTTTGTTTGTTTTGTTTTACCTATTTCAAACTAATATTAAATCTCTACTCTCTAATCATCTTCTGTACAAAAGTTGGCTCCTGATTGCGTTTCCTCCCATTTTCTGACTAGGCCCGAAGGAGGACCACCACTCAGATGGAATTGCTGTATGCAGATAGCAGTGAACTAGCTTCAGACACTAGTACAGGAGATGCTTCCTTGCCTGGCCCTCTTACAGCTGTTGCAGAAGGGCAAGAGAGTGGAATGAATACAGAGACCAGTGCTACTTCTGCTAGGGACAAAGAACTCCCTCCCCCATCTGGCTTCCCTTCTAAGATAGGCAGCATGTAAGTCTGGCCCCGCTACACTAACTTCCTTTCTTTTGGCTTTTCTTTTTTAATATGCATGTTGCTGATTTCTTATTTCTATTTTTTAAAATTTATGTGAATAAGATCTCTGGTTTTCAATGTAATTTCTGTTAGGTATTATCTCACCTAATTTTTTGGGCACTCAAAATGACTTGAGATGGGAAATGTTCTTTGTTGAATTGCATTATCTTGTTTCTCAGTTTTAGGGTCTTTCTTAAAGGATTATAATTTTTATAAAGACTGAGTTGTGAACTGCAGATAGAATTTATTTAGTAACTGCTAAAGTAGGTTAATGCTATACCTATGAAACCATTATATAAAACAACAACCTGAAAGTCTCTTAAATTAGCTCTAAATTATGTGTGTCCTAGTTCTAAGAGCCTGGTCAGGATACTAAACCTTGCTGACCTTTCTAAAGAAAAATGAAATATGACATACAAACATAAAACACTTGAGGCTTTCCTAACTTTTTGCCTTAAAGCACATTACATGTCTGACATGAGTGTTTGCACAAAATATTTGCATTGATATTATTAAAGATTTGAAGGAAGACATATTCTCTCTCCCATCTATGTTGATCTGAACAAAAAAACATTCTCAAAACAAATCTTATTTAGACATTTAAAAAATTATTTTCTGGAGGAAAAAGAAAGATTTCCCTATACAGGCCCATGTGTGTGTGTGTGTGTGTGTGTGTGTGTGTGTGTGTGTGTGTGTTGTACATGGTGTGATTATGTGTGTTTTGAAAGTTATATTAAAATTAGACCAATCATTTACTGGTAAAGATTTAAATGATATTTTTCAAACGAAGCCTCACATATACTCTGGCAAATGATTTATGGGATGAATACATGCCAGCATTGAAATATACTGCCCAAAAAGCAGCACACTTCATATGACTCTGCAAATAATAAAATATAACAAACTTCCCCCCTTGAGTATTTCTATTTTTCATAACTTTATGCATTGTCTGAAGATATTTTTGTTGTCTTACATTCAGTAAGCCCATTTGCAACCTTTAGTTCCAAAATTAATTTTAATGATGACAGAACTTCCTTGCATGTGCTTGAGGCCTATGTAATTAACTATCGGATTTGCTACTAGAGATTGCTAACCAATAGATAGCTTATGGCTTCAGTGCTTTTTAATAAGATGATAGTAGCAGAAATGCTTTGGATAAAGGTAGTGAGATAGAAGTGATAAAGATGTTAGGAACCCACATGTGTTCAGCGTAGTCTGTCAGATGAGTAGAGACTTTTGGAACTTCAAGACTAAATCTATGACCTGGAATCCAGATTCAGGTAATACCTTCTTTTTGCCTTTCTTTTTTAAATTTTAAAAATGTATCCTTTGTAACAGGTGGTAGACAATACCTTTTGGAATCTCTCTTTTTGCATGATTTATTTTCACGTTTTCATGAATGCGGATGCTTGTGTAATCCTGCACAAATTTAAGAGTTGGTCATGTGCTTGGTTTAGTAACTTTTATAAACCATTACTGCATGATTTTTATTACATAAACTAGAGGCCCAGTGCATGAAATTTGTGCACGGGTGGAGTCCTTAGGCCTGGCCGGAGATCAGAGCCTATAGGGGCTGTCTTGCCCAGTCCCAATTGGGGTGGGGCCTGCTGGCTGCCAGCCGGGGCCTGTCAGCTGGGGCCTGCCGGATGGGGGGAAGGCCAGGGAGAGGGACTGCGGGAGGTTTGCCAGCTGGGGGAGAGGGGCCGGGGGAGGTTGGTTGGCCATGGGAGGTTAGAGGGAGCAGCTCCTGCATTGAGCGTCTGCCCCTTGGTGGTCAGTGCACGCCGTAGTGACTGGTCGACCGGTTGTTCCCGTTGTTCCGGTTGTTCAGTCGTAACGGTCGCTTAGGCTTTCATATATGAAATAATGATGATATAAATAATGATATAAATATTTCATAATGAAATATATATGAAATAATTTACTCAAGTGGCCCTTATGATTTAAAGGATGCAGAAGTTCTAAAAATTGATTTCCTCCAATTAGAAAAAAGTTTAATTATACTTAATTTTTGCTTTCAAATAGGAATCAATATCCCCTTTTTGGGGATATTGCTTTCTAATTCTTTAGTGAATTTGTATATTTTTAATTAATATAACTAGCTAAAAATAGCAGAAAGTCATTTTTTCAATTAAAATGTATTGCATCATATAAAAAAGTCTTACATAACTACTATTCAACATTTAAAATTTATAAGGCAAAAATATGTTAATTACAAACATTTCTGAGTTACAAATTAAGTACTATAGTTAATTTAAATAATTGTGCATTTTTTGTGTGACCAAATATAATTAATTAAATCTCATTGTTTCTCATATTCTGATAGTCGAATATTTTTGTTCTACAAAACTGTAATGAGAATTTTTCTTCAACCAAAGCAATTCTGATCAAACTTAAACACTTATGTTTAAAATAAAATATTTATTTGGCAATATAATATTTTTTTTTATATTCAAAGATAATGGGTTTTCACATATTTGAAAGGATTGCCAATTTAAAAATTAAATATATACTTGTTAAGCTTCCATTAACTAAAAATAACTCATAATATTTTCCTATCCTAGTTTTATTTTTTATTTTTTGTTTCCAAGTAATCTTTCTTGAGTTCTAGTTATTAATCTATTAAAAAAATTTAGGTTAAATGTCTACCAAATAAAGTTATATGTAAATATTTAAAATTAGATGACCACAGAATCTTTTTCTATTTTTAGTACCAGATCGTCATCTCTATCAGAGAAAAAACTACCAGAGCCTTCCCCTGTAACCAGGAGAAAGGCATATGAGAAAGCAGAAAAATCAAAGGCCAAGGAACAAAAACAGTAAGTTACTCATGCTTTTTATCTGTTAGATTGTATAAAATGTCTGCTACACTTAGATGCTAAAGGACAATAGTGAACTTACTTTCCAGATTTTAGGCTGGTTCTGTGGTTATGACAGATTTGACTAATCATGACAATCAAGTCAGCTATTGGCTTGGCTAAATGGTCTTTAAATTCCTTGTTCACACACACCTGTAAAAATATTGAGCACTTGTGCCTGATCATGTGTACGCATATATTTTCCAATTATTCGTGCATATTATTGTAAGAGTTAATATACACTTGAGGAGAGACTTATTAAATATGAGTCCTCTAGAAAAATTTGAAATTAATCTTGGTTGTCATCTGATAAAACTACATTGACTTCACCTCTTTAACAGGGTTGACAAAAAAAACTAGTGTTGGAGGGTGTGTGAGTTGTGCCATTTTCTTGCTGTTCTTTTATGTTTAAATCGGCATTATCCCCAATTGTTTTTTTGTGGGTTGTCTTTTTTTTTTTTGCTAAAATCATTTTGTTTGTTTGTTTGTGGAAAAGCAAGCAAGAATTTATTGACCACAGCCAAAATATACATGGAGAGTGAAACAAGGAAGGGCATATTTGAAGAAGCAATAGGAGCGCCTAGGCTGGGCTGCTTCGGCTCACTGGGAAGTCAGAGAAAAGGGGGCCTTGGAGACAGGTCCTGGGTTAGCCCAGGACGAGCTGCCGCTGCCCATTGCTCCTCTGGTTGCAAGTCTCATGGGGTCCCTTAGAGGTGAGGGGATAAGTGCCTTTGGGGGAAGGAGGAGCAGAAGGGAATAGCAGGCCTGTGCTCCCTGGAGAGAGAGTGCCTGCTAACATCTTTTAAAAGCTGTTTGTGTGTTTTGTGAAGGTTAATTTACTGAACGATACATAATATAATCTGATGACCCACTGGGTAATTGCAATGCCTCAACATGCAGAAAGGTGATGAATGGGTGAGAGCCACTGTCGCCCTTCTACCTTGTGTGTGGCCTAATGCGCTGCATGTGGCAGGTGGATCTATGACTCAGCCTTGAGTGAGAATATCAATGCCAATCTACATTGAAATATTGGTAAAGCTAATTTCTTTACCATACATATAAATATGGTAATAAGTTTTATATATTTTCTGTACCTGAGTGGACAGTGTTGTACCACCCCCTTCCCTGGACCAGCATGCACACGCTCGGCCTTGACCCCTGGCTTAGCTGAAATGAACGTCATGGAAATTATCCTTCTAGTCATCCTTGCTTCCTGTGTTTAAAGATGTAATTTGTTGCTACTGAATCAGACCTCTCAAGAATGATTGGGAGATGGGGGAATGGAGCAAATAAGTAATTTAAATATAAATGAATGAATCAATTGAGTAGGCAAATCACTCTTAAACTTTCTGGGTCTGTTTCCTTGTCTGTAAAATGAACATCTTGGTCTCAGTTCTAAAACTGTTTAATTTTAAATTTGGCTTGCTTTATTTGTACCGACTTTAGAGTTCAGCAGATAGAACTCTTTCTTTAGTGCCATCTTGTGGCCAATGTAACAAAATTCAATGGGAAAATTTTGAATTGTTCAGAGTGCATTTTATCTTACAATAAAGGAAGAGAGGAAGGAAGGGAGTGAAGAAGGAAGGATTTCACTAATGAAAAGCTTTTTTAGAAAAGCATGTTTCATATAACATTCCTAACAAAGCATAACCAATTAAAGCCACCTATTTAATGTTCTTTTTTTTTGTAGCTCAGATTCTGGAACCTCAGAGGCTAGTCTTTCACCTCCTTCTTCCCCACCAAGCCGGCCCCGTAATGAACTGAATGTGTTTAATCGTCTTACTGTTTCTCAGGGAAACACATCAGTTCAGCAGGATAAGTAAGTTATATGGAAGAGAGCCCCAACGATTTATTACAATATTCTGAACCTGTCAATACCATCTGTAGAAAACACTTAGCCATCTCTTTGTGTGGGAGATGGAGTCTGACTTGTGAACTCTTGCCATATTTTGTGTGTTGTTCCAACAGGAGATGAGCCATAGAGGCAATATTACAGAAAATTATTTTCCTGCTGAACATTATTCCCTGCTGTAGATTTGCATCGCTATACTTTCAGCACTTGTCTTGCTCTTTCTTTTACAAGTACATTAGATTTGAAATATCTTTGAGACCACCTGAAGTTTAAATTTCTTGGGATTCTTCAGCTTCTGTGAGCATACAAAAATCTCTAATCCAGACTGCCTGGATTTTTTTGAAATATGCAAATTATTTTACCTTGGGTGAATAGAACAGCTTACAAAGACCACTGTTATATGTGGAACATGTTATTATCACTTGGCTATTCTATACAAATCCACTAGTAAACTTCAATAGTTTTTGGAATAAAAAAGTAACTTTAAGGGTGAAGGGGGTAGGTTTGAAGGTGGGTTCTGGGGGAAGAGTAGTTGGAGGGATGTGGAAAATATTATTTTCATTAATTATTTATTGAAAAAGTATTCTCACATTGAGCCAGAATCTCTCTTGCAAGAATTCAGTACTAACACTGCTGCCATAAGGTGTTTGTTAACTCTGACTTATCTGCTTTGATTTTGAATGATAGCATTGTATGTGTATGTACTTGATATCCAGCCTCCCACCCCAATTATTTGTTTTTTATGCTATAATTTCTCTGTATAATTCAACAATTTCTGAAATTTATAAGATTTTGTTTAAGATGTCCGGCATGTTTAAATCATGCTAAATGGCTCTGTAACTTAGAGAAACACAATACCATTTTGAAATAACTTTAATCTACTTAATTTATGGATATAATTCTTGATCATACTTTAATATGGTTTAATCAGCTGATGACATGTCTTTTAAATTGATCTAGATAGGCAACTATCATCTGTTACTGAAAAAGACTCTAATATTGTTACATCATATCTCTTATTTAACTGAGAAAAGAGTAGAACATTAGGGATGCTTTGGGGAAGTCCATTTTCACTAGTGATATGAAAAATTACTAAATCTTCTTTACCATGCATTCACAGTCATAAAATTTTCTGCCAGTCTTTTGATGATCTTGACAATCTCATCATAGTTCCACATTTTGTACTGAAATGTTTTATCAGCTACCAACAATTTGACTGTGTTGTCATCTCTGAAAGTTGTCACTTAGAATAGACTTCTACACTTTCAAAAGCTCAGCCACCTTCTGGATCACTTTTTTGGGGGGCTCCTTTTTGAGACTAACGTGTTTCACCAGCTACATATTGTTTCTGGTTACATTCCATGCCAGCAGCACTCACCCTCCCCTCATCTTCCCCAAACTTATTTGACAGGTAAATAGATTTTCATAATAGCCACCACTTACTGCCAGACTTGGAGGTTTTGGGATAGGGCTGACAGGAGTCGGTCATCTATTATATAAATCCTGCTAAAGTTCCCCAGCAATTAGCAAGGGACTCCCTAGTCAGAATTCCATATTGTTAAGATAAGTTAAAACAAAAATTTATTAAATTGAGTGATTTGCTGTCCTTTCAAACATGTAATATATTTGTGCAACAGCCATAGTAAAGAGTCCAAATCTAAAGTAATTATCAAGATGAATAAAATTCATGAATAGTTATTAAAATGGAAAACATTTTCTGGTACTAGTCCATTAAATAGAAAGAAACTTAAAGTGATGTATTTTACTTACTTGATACTGTTCCTCTTCAGGACCTAAATTTTAGAAGTAAGGATAGATAGGCTCTATGGATCAGTAATAGAAATATTTCCCCCCAAAGTCTTGGTAGAAAACATAAGAATCGAATAGCTTATCTGACTCAGCTAGACATTGAATTTGCTGTTATCTAGTACAAATAGAGAAGCAGGGCACAATAAAGAAAGTGTTTACTATATTTCAATAATACTGTTGATTTTCATTTCAATCTCAGTGTCTGTATCTGTTGACACCTGTATTCTTTCTCCTCATAATTCTAACTCTTTCGCTGTAGGTCTGATGAAAGTGATTCCTCTCTGTCGGAGGTACACAGGTACTTTCTTTCCGTCTTTTCTATATTCTGGCATTTCGTGGTGTTCTAAAATGCCTTCCTAGAAACTAAGCAAATCTCACTTTTGTTGCATGCATAACTTGTTGTAAACCATATAGATGCACTAATATTTTTTAACATATTCATTTTAATGATGCACCTTTTAGACAAAAGTAGTGGCACAGTTTTTTGTATAATAACATAAAAACTTGTGATATTTGTTTTCTATTTGTAACCTAGATTTTTTTAAAGTAATTAAGTTCTATGAATACTGATTTCAAGAAATTTTGCTCCTCAGTGATTTTTTATTTCCAATAAAAAAATGTGGGAGGTCAGTATGGTTATCTTTTCTTGTTTGTTTAGCATTTTAAAGAAAGAGTTTATGGGAGGTTTTGTGATTTTTTTAAAAAAGGTATGCTAGAAAAAGAAGGATACTATGGTACCAAAAAAGAGAGAAAGAATAGAATGTAGAAGGGCTTTAAAAAAAATTTTTTTCTATTGATTGATGCTATTTTAAAAATAACAGTGTTGCATTTTTTCATGTTAAGGATTTCTTTTTTTTGGATCCTCAATTTCTCTTTCATCTTTGCTGTCATTTCTTCTTCCCACTTATCATTTGTCTTCTCTCTTTTTGCACTCGTTTCCCCTGTTTATGGCCATTTTGCTGATCAGCAGTAGATCCTCCAAAAGGTAGGCAGGGGGAGGGAGATGAAATTAATCTCATTCACGGTATTACAAACTTTACTGGTTTGCATGGAACAACAATAAACTTGTTTCTCTCCTTCAAATCAGGTTTGTTTTACAAGTTTGCAACATTTAACCTTAACTTAAAGTAATTATTTTAAAGTTGATTTCTATATTTCAGAATGTGAATAGATTAATTCTAATAGAAAAAAATACCATGGATGTATGTTTCCAATTTCTACTTTTTTCTATTATCTTTGGTGTTAAGGTAATATATATAAAGGTATATATGTATGTTATATATAATATATTAACCCTAATACTATGAATATCTGAGAGCATTTTTCAGTGTATAATTAATAAAATGCTATGTTTAATGTTGAGATTGTTTCTTTAGAAGTGTGACTAATCAATGATATTAACACACATAACAATGAAAGAGACTCCAGGAGCTGTGCCATACAGAAGTCACTGTCTATTTGGTGGCAAATATTTACTGGATACTTTTGTAATACTACAGCCTTTGACATGACAGAGTTGTGTTGGGTGTTATATCATTGGGGAAGATTTTGTAAATTCTTAGGATAAAGCTGATAATTTGAAGGAAGGAAATCTTTTAGAGACATAGTGTCACATAATTGAGGCTACTGATTTTTTTCCTTAGGATGGTTTGTGTCGTTAGATGCAAATCAGAAACAGCTCTTAGACTGTCCCCATGATTTTTTTTTCTTTGTAGAGAGCTTGTTGGAATATACACACATATATTTTCTGTTTGAGATGTAACAGTAGCAGTTGACTGTGTGTTAGATCACATTTGTGAACGTGTGAAGCAATACTATGATGGCTTCAGTTCATAGCTTATAACCTAACAGCAACAGGAAGATTCAAATGCCAGAGTCAGACGTTTGAGGAGGTTTTGCTCCCATTTCCGTTTTAATCTGCATAAATTCTTACTGTACAAACAAGATACTGAGCATTAATTTAAAGAATCTCAGATTGACACGTGTGCAACTAATAGCATTAGACTGTGTACTTATATATCTAGTGATAACAATTCCTGGTATTATTTTTGGTGACGAGGTGCTTCTTTTATTTTTTTGAAATCATTTTAACTAGACCCTAAAAATAAAGTTTTAAAAAAAACACTGAGCCTAAATTTACCTCCTTTAAATTTCTATTCATTGGTTTTTCACCAGCCCACCTGAGCTATACCAGAATTAGTCCAATAGCTCTTCTTTTGTGTATGTGACAGTTCTTTAAATATTCAGCCCTTCATTATGCTGTTGTGTCCTCTCTAGTGAATGTTCTTTTATCATCTGAATAGGCCTAGTTTCATCATCTGTTCCTTATGTAATAGAGTCTGCAGACCCTTCATTCTGCTTCCACTGTTTTGGAAAGTGTCCAGCTTTTCAATGTGCTTAAAATGTGGCATCTAGAACTCAACTCCATTCCAGACGTGGCCTTGGTAGAATATAGCAGCTCTATTACTTTCTCCTAAAAATGTTAGGAGAGGAACCATTAATTGTCAATCCATCAATCATGCATTCAATAACTAAATCACTTACACCACTTTCCTACTTTGAACATTCTATTATATCTTTGACTTAAGTTTTATGTGTAAACTAGAGGCCCGGTGCATGAAATTCGTGTAATCAGGGGGGTCCCTCAGCCAGGCCTGCGCCCTCTTGCAGTTTGGGAACCCTCGGGGGATGTTCGACTGATGGCTTAGGCTCGTTCCTCATGGGGAGTGGCCTAAGCCTGCAGTTGGACATCCTTAGTGCTGCCATGGAGGCGGGAGAGGCTCCCACCACCGCTGCTGCACTCCCCAGCTGTGAGCCTGGCTTCTGGCTGAGCGGCACACTCCCTGTGGGAGGGTACTGACCACCAGAAGGCAGCTCCTGCATTGAGCGCCTGCCCCCTTGTGGTCAGTGTGTGTCACAGCAGCCGGTTGTTCTGCAGTTCGGTCAATTTGCATATTAGCCTTTTATTATATAGGATTTCATTCAGTGATTATTTTCATGCTAAATACATACTTAACAATAAATGAATTTTGTTTCAGTCATTTTTTTCTAGGCAATACAACACAGTAGCCAACTTATTAATATTTCAGTTTAATAAACATACCATTTCTATCTTTAGGGCTAGAAAAAACATGACTAGATTTTAAAGACCTTTTTTTAGACTGACAGGATCATTGACTCATTAGGTGTGACTTCAAGTACCACTGAAACTACCTACTACAACAGTTTTGTGCTAACCCATGTCCACAAAGATTTCCTTTGAAAGGCTTATTGGAGTCAACATATCTTGTGAATATGACTTCCCCCTATGTTGCTGCCTAGTAACCCTATAAATAATTTCCTTCATGAGATCAATGAGCTCATTTATCTATTATTGATGAGCCTTTATTTTTAAGTGTTTATAATAATTTTATTCATCTCTAATTTCTGAAATCCACTTTCCTCATCCCTTCTGGAATTGGGTCTGCATGACTTTTCCCTTTATTGATCTTTTTAGAGTACCAGTGGAGGTACTCCAGTGATTTTTGTCCCCACAGGCGTATACATTGAAAAACCTATGATATAGTGATTTAAAAACCGAATTCATCAGCTGTCTCCATTTGTTAGTTCTACTTAGTCTGGGCTTGTATTTCTTCTTGGTCATTTCTGCCACTTGTATCTCTTGAAGATTGTTTTCTTTCATCAAGAAGTAGAAACAAACAGTATCGTTTTATCTCTGTATTTGTTCTAATATTATGCTATCTGTCTTATATAATGGACATACTTCAATATAATTTTTCTTCCTGCTCTAAACAAAGAAACTTCTGACTGATATATTTATCATGTCTTAATTCATTCTCATCTTTAGTCTTCCTGACACAATTATTTCAATTCAGATCCTGCATTAAACTCCTTTAGGATAGGAATGCTGTTTTGATAATCTGTGTATTTCGTAGCACATAGACCAGTAGCATAAAGCAGAAACTCCAGAAACATTAAAACTCATGGGATAGATCCCTAAAGAATCTTACTGTTCTTTTAAATTCTCAGTCTTTTTATCTTGTTTGTTATTGTTAGTGTTTTAAGTTTTTGGTGTTTTTAAACCATTCACCCTTTAGAATTTCTGTCCATGCAATCTTGTCTTTTTTCAAATTTGTTTGAAATTTGCTTCCTCAGTATTTTAGGTGGTATGTGTTATACTTTCTCAAGAATGTCCTTTTTGACACAGAGTCACATCTTCCAAGTGCTATCCTATATACTTTCTTATTTGTCAGAATTCACGACACTCAAGCAGCTCCCAATATTGCTTCATTAAACTCTGAAGAGATGAAATTGTTAATAAGAAAATCCAAATGTATCATAGGCTTTGCTCTTTATAGAATGCAGCTGTTAGCTGATGCCTAATGAGTTGATGTATTCCATCGCTACTATTGCTACTTCACATGTTGTCTGTCCTTTGGCTTAAAAAAGAGATGAGGGAGCAGCCTGAATTTTATTACTAATTAGTTAGAAAGACTTCTTAAAGTCAGGGAACAACTAAAATTAATCTCATGGTATAGCTACTGAAGTCAGTCTTATTTTTTTGTTTGTTTTTGTTCACTCCCCCACCCCCCACCTCAGGGGCATAATCAACCCATTTCCTGCTGCAAAAGGAATCAGAGCTTCTGCCCTTCAGTGCATTCACATAGCTGAAGGGCACACGAAAGCCGTGCTCTGTGTGGATTCCACTGATGACCTCCTCTTCACTGGATCAAAAGGTGCTAGTAGTGGTTTGTTTCATGGGGGTATTTAAGATTTTTAAAAATGACTGCGTTTTTAACAAGCTTTGACCAAAAATAAGTGAAACTGCTTAAGACCCATAAGGATATGAGAGAGAATCTAATTTAACCACTGAATTGTATAAACTGTAACATCATCTCATAGTTGGGAAGAAAGTAAAAATCTCTGTTGATGTTATGTAAATAGAATATTGAGAGACTACATCTCTGTTTGGTAATTGAGTACCTAATGCATGCAGGGCCCTGAGCTTAGTAGTGCAGTTTATATGACAATGTACCAGAGGCCATTACAGTGTACAGTGCGGTAAAGAAAATAAGATGGGTGGCAACCACCATTTCTTGAAAACTTACTATATTTCAGAGACTATGCTAGACAATACAAAAATTATATCTCATTTAATTCTCACTACAACCCCAATGAGATGCATGTTTCATCCTAATTTTACAAATGAAGACACTGAGGATTCAAGCTATTAAATAATTTTCCCAGAAAAACTTAGCTAGGAAGTGGAAGAGCCAGAATTGGAAACCTAGGTCTAATCATCTCCAGACCTGCAATCTTAACCCCTTTGGCACAATGGCAGGTAGTTAGAACTCAACTGCATACACTTTGAAGTGTTATACACCAAGCGTTTTGGGGGTTTCGAAAAAGGGAGAGATTTGGCAATCTGTGAGAAACAGGAAGGTGTTGACAAAGGGGCATTTAGAATGAACCTTATAGGATGGTTTGCATATTGACAGGTGAGGATTGGCAACCAAGGTTAGAGAACAACATGAGCAGAGACATGGAGGTAAAAGTGGGGTATGTTTGGAAACGAAATCCAGTTGGGTTGAATAGTAGAATATACATAAGAGAAGTAGTAGACAGTGAGGCTAGGAACGTAAGAAGGAAGCCTGGTCAGGAATTTGGGGATCTAGTAAAAGTTATTTAGTATTTAGGGATATTATAAGATTCAGTTCAATCAGCAAACATTTGTTGCTCATTATCTACAAGTGACATATAAGAATCTTGCTAGAACTTATGAACTTTAATAATGGCCAACAGCTCCCATTTTAGAAACAATCTGCTCTGTGAAAATATACTTTCCTAATGATTCCAATTACACTGGTCTCTCCAGGATAATTAGATTGTCATCATAGAAAAACAAAATACAAAAACAAAATAGGATAGTTGTAGGCTTATGCTTGTGGGTCAAAAATAAAATCCATCACACAGTGGCCCTGGAACAGAAAGGTGTCTGTGTTTACATATGCGGTGTGTTGTGAGGAGGTAGGGATGTTTTGAAGTAGAATGTTTTGAAGAAGCTGATTTATTTGATATGACTTTCAAAGTTTTGTGGAATTATTTTTCAATACCCACATAATGCATACACCAGACATCCCTGGCTCTCATCTAGGCCTTTACTCCTACTTTGCCCTTGAACCTGCTGCAGAGGGTCAGGGATGGAGTCAGGATGCCTGTGGCAGATTAATGGGATAATTACTGTTTTCTTATCCCATTTCTGTCTCATAGGAGAGAAATTGTTTAAATAATTTTTGTTAAGAGAACCTAACTTAGTTCATATTGACAGTATTTCCCCTTGTTTAATTTGTTTGTTTTAGATCGTACTTGTAAAGTATGGAATCTGGTGACCGGGCAGGAGATAATGTCACTGGGAGGCCATCCCAACAATGTCGTGTCTGTAAAATACTGTAATTACACAAGTCTGGTCTTCACTGTGTCAACATCTTATATTAAGGTGTGGGATATCAGAGATTCAGCAAAATGCGTTCGAACACTGACGTAAGTAACTTAAAGATAACAAGAATAAGGGGCGAACAGTTCTTGTTTACAAAATATAAGAAAAGATAGCACTATAAATGCATTTTTATTTACTTATATCTGCCTACTTCCAAAGGATGGTAAAATGTTTATAATAAGAACACAGATAAAGTAAAGGGGAAAACACTATTGAGAAAATAAAATATGATAGCCTAGTATTAAACAGGAAGGGGTAAATAATTTGATCTGTGACTAAGTACACATTTTATATTTCTATGCTCCCAAATACCAAGGTATTACATTTCATAGTATTTACTGTGTGTTGTAGTTAATGGCTCACATTGCTTGCTTCAACTGAATAATGCTCCTTGGAAAATGGTATAAATCACCATTGTAGACAATTAAGAAGTATTTGTAATCTTTAATTGGCATGTATTGATTAATTGACAGGTTTATTGGGTTGGGGAGGGACTTACAGTGCTTTGGTATTTCATAACTGCTGGTTATAGTGGACAATTGGAGGATGAGATTGTTTTCTGTGTCTATCATATATGTCTATAAAATGTGGAGCAAGTAATGATTCTTTTTGCCATAAGATTGATTAACTGTTTTATAATTGAAATTGAGGGTGAACTCTGATTATTTAAATAAGAGAAGGGAGCATAGGAAAGATTAATTTTTACTAAAATTAGGGATTTAGAGTAGGGGTTAATAATTTGTAGAGTAGGGATTATTAACCTTTAATTGCTAATTTGCATTTGGAGAACTACTAATTATTGTACTGAATACAAGTCTCTTGAGGGAAATTTTATTTAAAAAGATGTTAGAAATTTACCAATCCAATTGATGCCCTAAAGTCAAATTTAAAAAGATTAATTAGCTTGATATTTTAGAGTTAGCTAAGAAAGTGTTTCAAAAATTTAAAAAAAATATGCTTACCCTTTAGAATTTACCAGAGGAAATAGAAATAAGTTACATTTGAGTTTTTAGCACATAGTAAACACTGCATGTATGAATGGGCTAAAGTAAACAAAAATATAAAATAATTTTAAAAGTCCTCATAGGCTTTAATTCAAAAGGGCACATCCTATGGACAAAAGCAATATTGGTTGGCCTGGCCCTCAGGGGGCTTCTGGAAGCTGCAGAAAAATGAATCACCTTTATGATACTCATTTGTTGAGGGATTTTTGGTTTTTGTTTGATTTTTTAAATTTTTGTCACCTAATCTTTTCTGAATGATATTTTTTTAAAAATATATTTTATTGATTTTTTACAGAGAGGAAGGGAGAGGGATAGAGAGTTAGAAACATTGATGAGAGAGAAACATCGATCAGCTGCCCCCTGCACACTCCCCACTGGGTATGTGCCCACAACCAAGGTACATGTCCTTGACCGGAATTGAACCTGGGACCCTTGAGTCCGTAGGCTGACTCTCTTTCCACTGAGCCAAACCGACCAGGGCTTCTGAATTATATTTTAATCATTCTTGACTCAGGGCTTGTAATTATTAACTTAATAATAGAATTGCAACTTAAGAGTCTTAAGCCATGTCATCTTGTTTTATTCATTCAAAACATTTAAAGTGCCAACTATGTGTGTGTGCGCGGTGCTGGGTTCTGTGCATACGGGGACCAAAAAGGGCACCGATCTTGTTGTTGGTTATAGCAGGTTTCCAAGAATTCATGGAACTTTAAGCTGAACTCATGTGCAGAAACGATGACTTTTTTGTTTTGTTCTGTCTCTGTTAAGATCTTCAGGTCAAGTTACTCTTGGAGATGCTTGTTCTGCCAGTACCAGCCGGACGGTAGCTATTCCTTCGGGAGAGAACCAGATCAATCAAATTGCGCTGAACCCAACTGGCACTTTCCTTTATGCGGCGTCTGGAAATGCTGTTAGAATGTGGGATCTTAAAAGGTAGAATGTATAAGAAAATGTACTTCTTATACATGGAAAATGCAACATTCAGACATTACTAGTGCATCTGAAATCTAAATTTTATAACCCCAGAAGTTAATATGAAAATCATAGGATTTTCTGTTCCCCCCAACACCCTCAAAGGTCTCTTCTGTTCTCTTTAGCAAACTCACAATTTTTTCTTTCTTTTAAGTTACATTGATGGGGGAAAAAGTATATGAAGGAAAATAGGATTAAAACCTTACCCTTTCTTAATATTTGTCTACAAATTGTGTTGTTTTCTAGGAAGAAGCCAGGATTCTCATCCTAGTTTTACCAGTACCTTTGAAAGGATTATGTTTTGCAGTATTATTTAAACATTTTATATCTATAATGTTTCAGTTTATAGACGTAAATGAACAAATGTGGGCATAAAACCTTAGAGGGTTTCTGTGAATATCAGGAAGATAAAGTGGTTAAAAAGTAAAAAAGATGGATAAATTGAAATGTAAGGCATTGCATCTTTGATTTGATTTTCAGTTGCCATGAAATATGAGCTTTTATCCTTTAGTTGAGTGTTTATTATAGTTTCTTTTCTAGTTCTTAAAATGTTGGCAGCAAGAGAGCATTCACTTGTTAGTTAAATACTTACTCAACATCAGCTAAAGCAAGCACTGCCCCAGCACTGTGTTGGGTCCTGGGAATAAAGATGACACCAGGCAAATGTGGCATCTGCCTTCATAGAGCTCACGTTATAATGGAGGATAAAGGCCATCAAACAGGCTGTTACAGGGCACTGAGTAATGTTTGCAATTCAGGTACCTCCCCTCTAGTAGGGCTTTGTCACTGGTAAATCAAAGGGATGGTTATTTGAGAAACTTTCAGAATAACTAGTTATAACAACATTTAAACAAATGGCTGAGAAAGTATAACAAGCATAATTTATAGATAGATGATCGAGAAAGAAAGAGGGGCACCACCATCCTCAGTGCTGTTTTAGAAATAAAATGTTTAAGAAAATTAGAAAAGCGAGGAGTTAGTTTATTCTTGAAGAGAGTACATTTGACTCATATTAGGAAAACCAGAGAGGAAGATACACAAATCATGACATAAGGCAGAAAATATATCAGGTTTTGAAAATCTTCATCCTTTTTATTTTGCTGAAGAGTTAGATCCTGTGAGGCCTGGTTGATTTCAGCAACATGATTAAATATAGATTCATATTAATAAAGTAACTAACAGAACAGTTTTTGAGAAACTGATATCCCGAAAGCCAAATACATGTCTGTATTCCGGCAGTGGGATTTAAGATAGGACTATGAAATGAAGGTTTACGGTCACTCCTATTGATTGACATCATACATTTTCCTACCAGCCAGATATGTTCTGGTCATTTTCATATCTTTATAATAACTGATAAAATGTACCAGCTATTTTCTGATGTACATATGTACACAAATATGTGTGCATAGATGTATGTATGTATATATGTGTATATGTGAGTGTCTATCTGTGTTTTTGTATATGTGAGAGTATTTGTGTGCCTGTTTAATAAAATAATCTTATTTTCTCTATGTTGTTATTTATTAGACAAGTTATTTTAGTGATAGAGTTGTTTTAATCAAATTTCAAATTGGATCTAATAACATCAGTAATATATCTATTACATATTTAGAAATTTAACAGATTAAGGTTTACCTGGACTTGGGTTGGGAGTTAAAATTAGTCATTAGCAATTTTTGGACTTTTGCTGCCTTTTTGTTTTCTACCAAAATGACATTAGTCAGCTTTGGAATATCTTCATTAAGATTCTTCCCACTTCTTTTGGCCATTTTAAAAAAACTAATTTGAACAGAGTTGAATAGAAGTGGAGCTAAAATAAAAAAAATATATTAGTGAACTATTTTATCAAAGAATATAGATTATTTATATTGAAGCTTGGCCTCAGCATGCTAAGACATATTTTCAAAGAAAATTCTTTTTTCTTTCTTTTTAAAGGTTCCAATCTACAGGAAAGTTAACGGGACACCTAGGCCCTGTGATGTGCCTTACTGTCGATCAGATTTCCAATGGACAAGATCTAATCATCACTGGCTCCAAGGATCATTACATCAAAGTGTGTATAATAGAATTGTTGAATTGTAGTTTGAAGTATTAAAAATCATTCACCCTTTCTCTTAATTTTCTTTTTTCCTATTTCTAGCCTTTGCTTTTTCTTCCTGATCTTTTCCTCACTCAGAGTTCCTGATTTTATCATCTTATTTCATCATATCTTCCCATTTTTGATAGAAGATAGGTTGAGAGGGATTTTAAAGATTTTTAACTCAGTCATCCAACTAATACTTGAGTCTCATTGTCACCATCTTTTATACTGAGAATATTATGTTTTTCAGATTTTATAAAATTAGCAGATAAGCTGAAGAAAGATGTATAGTTTGATTCTGGAAATGTTAAATTTGAAGTACTAACAGAGGACATCCTCATGTAGGCCAGCCGACTATTAGAAAGGCAAGCCCAGAGTTTATGATGAGTTATAACTGGAGATGTAGTTTTGGGAGCCATTCAAATAGAAGCAGATGTTCAAGGAGTTTGAGTAGATGACATGGCCGAAGGAGAGGAGTTGACAGGACTCAGCCTTGGGAAATCTCTGTAAGAACCAATAGGAATAAAAAGAGTGTACAGTAAGAGAGAGTGTAGCGTTGAGTAAGAGACAAAAAATGGGTTAGTAACTTGAAAATCGAATGAATAAGGGGAGAGGATTTTGTATTCGGTAGACTTGAGCACGTTTATATGCTTAGGAAATGGGCTTAGTGGAGAAGAAAAGTGTAAGGAGAAGAGTGAAGTGGCAATTGATAGAGGTGGTAGGAGGAGTTAGAATCAGATCAAAGATGTGAACCTTGGGAAAAAGTAAGTGTTTGAAGATAAAAAGAAACTTTGGGATGGAGGAAAGGGTTCAATAATATATTTTTGATCATGCTGGTCTTTTCAGGAAATCACAAGGTCAATAGCTTAGAGAGGTAAGGGCAACTGAGGGGTATGAAAGGTTTTGAAATAAAGGGAAGGTTTTAAAATAAATGGTTAAGGGTATTTGAAATGGCTACCAGGACTGCAGAGCTTTCTAATAGTGTTTAAATAACAATTATGTTATTTATTTTACTTTCAACTGGATTATACATGAAAAAATTGATTATATTTCTTAAAAGGCATGTAAGCATGTGACACGTAAGCAAAATAGTGTGAAAGTAGGACTCAGGTTCATCCTGAGTGGAACAGACCAGGTAATTTAGTTAACTTAGTAAGATATTCTTTTTTTTTTAAATATATTTTATTGATTTTTTACAGAGAGGAAGGGAGAGAGATAGAGAGTTAGAAACATCGATGAGAGAGAAACATCGATCAGCTGCCTCCTGCACATCTCCTACTGGGGATGTGCCCGCAACCCAGGTACATGCCCTTGACCGGAATCGAACCCGGGACCTTTCAGTCCGCAGGCCGACGCTCTATCCACTGAGCCAAACCGGTTTTGGCTAGTAAGATATTCTAATGAAACAAATGTCTGATGAATATACGTGTGTATGCATTTCTGTGAATGAACACATATGGCTGCTTATGTTAAGTTAAATATGATGACTGCTTTCTTTTTGCTATTTTTTAGATGTTTGATGTAACTGAAGGGGCTCTTGGAACTGTGAGTCCCACCCACAATTTTGAGCCCCCTCATTATGATGGCATTGAGGCGCTAACCATACAAGGGGATAACCTATTCAGTGGGTCCAGAGATAATGGAATCAAGAAATGGGACTTAGCGCAAAAAGACCTTCTGCAGGTAATGTAAAACCTTTCACGGAATGGAGTGGGTATTTCAGAGCCACTCAGCAGTCTATATAAGAATTTGAAGAGCCTCTATGTAGATCTTCATTGTTTAGGAATAATATAAATAAGGGCTTCCTCTTAAAGGAGTTTCTCACCCACCCGAGTTACTAATTATGAGAAGGGCAACACTCAACATTTACTAAATACCTCATCAACAAGAGGAGACTAGACACTAAAAGATCTGGGATTGTCTCATGTATGTGCTCATTGAATAAAATCAGTATTGGTGTAGAGTTGTTATAGTTTCTCATTTTGTTTTGTTTTATGTACACATATTCCACAGAGTAACATGTTTAACTAAAGTCAAAGTAGTGTAAATGATTCCTCACCTTACAAGAACATCTTCATGCATCTGAAAGTGTTGGTTCTCTCATTTCCTATGGAACACTAGTTGGATTGAAATGTTGTGTCCTTACAATCAAATATTGTTCTATTTCCCTAATTCCCAGGGGAAGAAATTAGCTAACAGATAAAATTGTTCTCAGTTTCAAGCTTTCTCCTGTACATGTACTGGTGTGTATATATTGCAGTTGCTACTACTTTCCTACCTGCGACTAGACAAAAACAAAATAAATAAGTAGCATGAAATATTAATAGAAAAAACAGTAACAGATGCATATATTGCATTCAAAAGCTCTTATAGACACACATTCGTGGTGTGACATTTATACTGTGTATATAAAAATATTTATGCATAAAATATAGTCATACAGTCTGATCTTGTAATATACTAATATACTAAAGGCCCGGTGCACGAAATTTGTGCACTGGGGGGGGGGGGTCCCTCAGCCTGGATTGCAAGAGGGCACAGGCCAGGCTGAGGGACCCCACCAGTGCATGATCAGGGCTGGGGAGGGACGTGGGAGGTTGGCCAGCAGGGGAGGGACCACAGGAGGGCTCCAGGGCATGTCCGGCCCATCTCGCTCAGTTCTGATCAGCTGGACCCCAGCAGCAAGCTAACCTACCGATCGGAGTGTCTACCCCTGGTGATCAGTGCACGTCATAGCGACTGGTCAGCCGGTCGACTGTCTGCCCCCTGGTTATTCGTGCACGTCATAGCGACTGGTCGATCAACTGTCTGACCCCTGGTAGTCAGTGCACATCATAGCAAGTGGTTGAGTGGCCTTAGCATATCATTAGCATATTATGCTTTGATTGGTTGAATGGATGACCGGATGATGGGACACTTAGCATATTAGGCTTTTATTATATAGGAAGGGTAGGTTAGCTCTGGTCTTCTACAAAAGTTTAAGTCAGTGATTTTATGAGACAGTCTTTAAAATCTACATGCCAGGTTGTAGTTTTTAAATTTGTTTTATTAAATACATTTTGGGAAAGGAGATATTTACTGCCTATGAAGAGGATGTAATGTTTGACAAATTTTGTATACTTTCTAGATCCTTTAGAGTCTATGGATTTTTAACATTATAAGCCTGTAATACTGATATTACTGATAATAATTAGTGAGGCAAATTATAGATTTCTTTAAGTCCCTAAGAGTGATTGCATAGAAAATGATTTTTACAGTTTCCAGGCCATTCAGCATTCCAAAAATTGAGTTTTATCAATAAAAATGTTTGTAACTTTTTTGGGTGTGAAAATGTATGTCTCCTTAAGATTCTGATTTCTCTTTTTTCTCTCAGCAAGTTCCAAACGCACACAAGGATTGGGTCTGTGCCCTGGGAGTGGTGCCAGGCCACCCGGTTTTGCTCAGTGGCTGCAGAGGGGGCATTCTGAAACTCTGGAACGTGGATACCTTCGTGCCAGTTGGAGAGATGAAGGGTCATGATAGTCCTATCAATGCCATATGTGTTAATTCCACCCACATTTTTACTGCAGCTGAGTAAGTTTTTCCTATGCAATTTTTTTTCTATGTTAGCTACTTGTGTTCAGATTTAATAAATACTGTAGGTTATAAATATCTGGAAATGTAGAACATGAAAACCTTGGACCTCAATTTGCTCATTAATAAAAAGGGAATAATAGCATTATCTACTTCTTATGTTAGTTAAAGAGAATTAAATGCACTAATGTATTTAAAGGGCACAGGTAACAATGCCTAGCACATACTCTTGATAATATGAGCTATTTTTTTCTCCGTTTTCTACTCAGCTTTTTTTATTTTATTCAAATTTGTTATTGTTTAAAGTACTACATAAGTCTTCTTTTTCCCCCATTGACCTCTCCCTGGCTGCTTCCACCTCCCAGCACATGCCCTCACCCCTTTACTGTCTGTGTCCATTGCATTTGAGCTATTTTTAATATCATTATCATGATGCCCTGTTCGATATACTTATGGGAACAAGCTATATTTTTACTTACATCTATGAAAGACCTATTCAGAAAATGTTTCCAAAATAAGTAAGTATAAGAGCTATTTCGTTATCTTTCTGCCTCTTTTCTCATGTTCATTTTTAATTTATATTTGTAGTGATCGAACTTGTGAGAATTTGGGAAGGCTCGCAATTTGCAAGATGGTCAGATCTCCGACACAGGAGATCTGGGGGAAGATACTGCCAGTAATTAAACATGATGAAGATAGTCATAAACTGA